TATTGCTTCACTTCTTCCTAAATAACGATCATTTTCAGTAACAAGATTTAGAACATTTTCAATGTAATTTAAGCACTTTTTTATATCTTCATTTCATTCTTCAAGATCGTAATGTAACGATTCCTAAATTAATGATCGTAATTCAGTAACAAGATTTAAAACTTTTTCAATGTAATTTAAGCACCTTTTTAAATCTTCATTTTCTTTGTCTCTATTGCTAACAAAGTTTTCTAAATCCTTTCATCGACAGTTTCTAAACATATTAATTGAAGGATAACTTCATTTCTAATTCTAAGCTTGGTCATCAAAGCTAACGTTGATTTTTCTCAACATTAATCGTTTAAAAATCTCCGTTAATAGTTGTTTCTCACTAGTTTTGGTATTATTCAAAATAGGTTTTTGATAACCTTGACATTGTTATTTAATAGTAAGCAAACGACATTGTTATTATCTAAATATAACTGACCTATCTAAACAATACAATTAGCACATAACAAATTAGATTGTGGCAGTGAATATCTAAGTTAAAGTCTCGTAAAATAAGTAATGTTATACATAAATAGACTATAATTGAGACACAATCTGGAATTGCTATAAATAAAACACCTTCAAGCTTGTGTTTATACGGTAAATCTGATCCAAAAGAATCCGTGTAAAAATACTGAGTAGAAAAAAATCAGAAGATTTGAATACAGAAAAAAGTATAATTAATAAGAATAATAACAATAATAATGGTTTAAACATCAAGATTATGTGTAAGAAAATCGTTTTTTTTAATTTACTAGCTATTTTTTAGTATATTAAACTTGCAGTATGCGCAGTTTTGTCGTGATCATCTCTATGATTTTCTACACACAGATTAGAAGTGGGTACAAAGAGACAACCTCTATTTTGAGCAAGTTATGACGATTTATTTTAATTCCTCATCAGATGGAATTTCACCTTTAATTCATTCGACGAAAACTGTTTTTATTTAAATTTAGTACAAATAATTCGCGTAAAAACAGGTCTGAGTGTTTATATTTTATTCGTTTTTGATTATACATTGAAATACTAGAATTGTAGACAGTTATTTAATAATAATAATAATCTGCATATGAAGTTTATCGAGAAATCGATATGAATTATAAACGGCGGAGGAACAAATGAGAATGGACGTGGAAATGTAATAATGTAAATATCAATAGTGTTCGGAGTTCTGACCTATTTTAAGTTTGTGCACGTTTGCGAATCGACGGATTCCCGAGTGAATTTTTAGTTCAACACTATTTGGGTTAAGTATCTAATAATATTGATTATAAGTAATCAAAACTAGAATAGAGAAATTCTATGAATTACATTCAATTTTACTTATTGAAAAATTCTGCAGTTTTTTGTGAAGGTAAACCAAATTTGATAAAAATAAAGATATTTTCGAATGTTGCAAAATAGGTATATTTCATAGTGCGGATAATCGTTTCCCGGACTATTTGAAACCGGACTAATCGACGATATTAAAACCGATCAAGGATAAAACGATTAAAATAATTTTGTGTACTATTTTTTTAGAATTTATTAGTATTTGACTCAGATATGAGAATTTAGTCTGTTTCGAAATTTTCCTACAGTGAATCGAAGTATTGCTTTATTTGGAAACTTTGATATATCTAACTTTGATGCATTTAAACCCAGCTGCAAATGAAGAGCAATAGTTCTCACTTATTTAGGTATGACAATCGCTTTCACTTAAATAAAAGTTTAGATCCGTATTTGGTGGTTTGTAAACGCTCACATTTAGAGAAAATATGTTGGTATTGTATAAGATATTCATTCCATTAAATGGAATTTGAAGCTCTATTTGGAGCGAAGCCATTCAACGATTCCAGTTCAAATGCATGAGAATTATTACACTTCAACTGTATTGTAATAACAATGTGACACTATGGAAGATCATTGGATGTGGTTATAAAAGAATTTTCACAAGGAAATAGAAATATTTACATAGATATTTATTAGTACTTGTTTTATCGGGCAAATTTGTAACAAAAGATTGAAATCATTGAAACCATTGAATAAAAAGTTTAATTAATTCGTATATCACAGTATAATTAGTATAGTAATACCTTAGTTAACGTTACCTCTTAAAATTAAACAATTATCAGATGAAAATCGGATGAAGATGATGATGTTTCGGTAGAAGATTTAGATAAACTTGTTAGAAATGAAAGTAAAGAAAATTAAGACTAAATTCGTTTTAAATTTTGTTAGTGAAAATGATCCTGATTTAGGAAGAAGTGTTATTACTAAGCCATCAGTGTTAAAATTTAATATAGAGATAATGAAATCAAATTTAGACTAATATTTTTAAATGTGATTTTACTTTATACGTAACTTAACAGTTCATTTAATACAGCTTTTCTTTCTTTGTTAAATAAATAGTCTTTTACATCTGAAAACGAAGTTTCCATTAACGTTATTTCGTGGAATCAAAGTTCCATTTTTCATGTTGAATTAATCGAAGAAATATGTTTTTTATGGGAAATCAAACGTTTAAAATGTTTCAAATTGATTTTTATCACAATATGATTACTACAATTACTACATTATTACAATTATCTAACTATTCAAAAAAATATAAAATAAAAAGTTTTTTTTTTAAATAAAAATTTATAAATATTTGTTTTCTTAAGAAGTGATCATTTTATTGACTCGTTTATTTGAGCATCGAAATTTCATCTTTTACCTTGAGACTTCATAAGTGCGTTTAGTATGAACACTTTTTTTTTAATATACAACAAATTAGTAATTATATTCTAATTTTCAAAATGAAAGTAAATTGAAATAAAATTTTAATATGATTTACGTTTTATTTATGAAAGTTTAACTGTCCACAACAAATATTACTATTATTTATTAATATTTCATTTCATAAAATAATGTAGTAATTATTTGTTAATATCCATGAATAATTGGAAAATACCGGAGATAATTTCAATATTATTTAATTAATTTATGTAATGATTGTTGAAATCAATCGATTACATAAATTGTCAATGAAGTGTGTTATTAAAGTTATCTGAAGAATGTATTTTATGTTTTTTTTTAAGAATAATCGAAGTATTCACGTAAAAACCAAACAATTAATAAAGTTTATAAAAGGAAACGAATCGCAATTAAATTTTAAATTAAACTGACGGTCAGATTTAGGTCGATAGCCAATTGCGGTTATTTTAATAGAGCCGCAATTTGCACCATCCTTTCGAAATACGCGAACATTTTTTTCTCTCTCAAACACATGCACACACGGTTGCATTTTGCTTGCAGAAACACAAATATGTGCTTCACTAATTGCAGTAGTCGAATAATAATTGCCTGCAAAAGTTCATCTTGTGGACCACATTGGTACGTTTACAAGCGATGCGAGGAAAAGTTAAACTACGTTCCCCTTCACCCAAAAAAAAAAAGAAAAAACCGAAAGAATGTGGCGCATGCAAAAGCAACAACAACATCGAAAAAAATAAGAAATTGAAGCGATTAATTGCATAATTTAATTAAAAGTGCAACGAGAAACTGGCTTTGCGAAATGTTAATTGTCGGTTTATCGTGGTATGTGCGATTTCGAGCTCCCCTAATGGATCGATTAATTTGAAAGTAAGGACGAGAGATGACCATTGGATCGACGCTCTTCGCTTGCACTTTCTAACACAAATACTCAATTGCACAACCAATTTTTGTTTACTTATTTTTCTTCAGCCTCGCGCACGAATTAATCGTTGCAATTGTCGTCGATGTTGTTGTTGTTGTTGTAGAAAGAAAGTGAATCGTCGCTTGGATTTGAAACTTTGATACGTTTTTTTTTGTTGTTGTTGTTGAGTGGGAAATTAGGATCGTGGAATTCAGGTTTGGATCGAGGCGGATTTCGCCGGCGCTTCGATCTTAACGATCTGGATCGAAACTGGGCGTGAAATCAAGCAAAAAAAAAATAATCATAACGTAACAAACTAAAAGGAGAGGAAGTATAAATTGAAACATAAAGCGGAATATGCCTCACGGAAGTGAAAGTAAAACAGTTTGTTTTTTTTTTTAATATTTCGTTCGCTCTTTATTTTTAATTTTTTTTGGGACGCTCACATATTTACGTATCTTGAACGCAGACGGATTTACACGGAATTAAGATGTATCGGAATAGTAAAGATCCATCCATTCATCTCTCCCTTTCACTATTTGTATCACGAATCTCGGGTGAAAGGTTTTTACATCGTTGCGCAAATTCGCGATGAGCTCAATACCTCGAAAACTATCTCTTTCGCTCCGACCATTGTTCGCTGCTACGAATTCCCTCTTCGTTTTCGAATTAATATGCAGGAGGCGGAAGAGGCCGTCGCCGTCGACGATGATCCAATCCGAATTAGTTTAACGCCGAAAAGTAGACCGTGTCCGTTTTCCCAGAGACGTTACAAAACACAATCATGATATTATGCTGTTGCCGCTGCTACTTCTGTTCTTTGATATTTATTTTTTTTGTCATTCTGTGTTTCCTTAATCGTTTTTTTTTGAGCGCTTACGAGTTCCTGCTTTGCATGGGTAAAAATGGAAAGTCTTGGGTTGAAAAATTTATTTTTTTGCGATAGTGGTGAGTGCACGTTGTGTGTGAGTTCTTTATTTCTTTTCAAGGGCGAAGCGAATAGTGTAACGTAAACACACCTACGCTCATAGTACGTTAGATAAATCACTATCAGAGATTCGAATGTTAGTTTTCTGCATTCCGGATGTACAAGACAATGAGTATTTAAGTTTATATAGTTACTTAAATAAGTAATCGAAAATTGTAGATATGAAAAACAAACAACAAAAATGTGTGTGCTTGTGTCTGTAATCATTGATTGTTGTGTCATTAGTTAAACACATGTTTATCGAGTTAGTAATACTTATTAATTAATAAAGCTAGTCTTTAGAAAGTAATTTTAAGTGAGGTAATTGTTGTTATTGATGTGAGATGTGTTGAGGGTTGGTGTACTTACTCTATTGCTGTCAGTTTGTAGGTAGTAAACAATAACAAACATCCATCCGATTGAGAACAAGAGGAGCACTTTAACATTTCGTCTCATCATATCACTGGGGCGTCGATGGTTGACTTTGAAAGATGATGAGACTGTTAGGCATATGTAGAGTATGTCCTGTTTATAGGGGAGTCTTCTGGATGTTTTGTTGTTGTTGTTGTTTGTTTATGAAGATGGTTCTCCCGAAGTGAGAGCTGAGCGTGCAGGAACGCGCAGCAGGATCGGCCGACCACCGCGTACTGTTTTGTGCGATGATAGTATATTGGAGCAGAACCGCTTCGGTGTTTGTTTGTAGGTAGAATGCTTCGCGGTGGGAGTGCTGCTGCTGCTGCTCTTGTTGGTGATGACGATGCTTTGATGATGATGGACCACGATTGATGGCGTCAGCGCACAAGTCTTTAGTAAGCGGCTGACGGTGGATATATATGTTATTTTTTTGTTGCGTATGCTGCAGAGCGTGGCTGGAGCAACCCCCGCGACTCCTGCAGTCCCGTTTAACGTTGTTCCTTCGTTTGGGGCTCGGACCCAGCCAGGATTCGATCGGCTCTGCGTGCGTGTGTATGCATGTGTATATATTACGAGGAACGGCGCGCGCTTCTTCGTCGCTCAATAGCGATCCCCTGCGAATTATGTAATCCCTTCGACTGCGGCCATCCCCGACAGAGCATGTGACTCACTCACGGATTTATCAAAGAACAAAAGACACAAATACACTCTCATACAAATAACGTACAGACAGACGGAGATGGAAAACAGACAAACAACATTTGGGGTCCATTCACTTTTCACTTTTGCCGGTTTGTTCCTTCTCCAGCATCTGCCTCACAAACGCCGGAATTCGGTCCAACTAATTCCCACTGCTTTCTAGATACATTTTTTTTTTGTATTCTCCAATAACTGTTATATTAATCAAGTAAACATATTAACAATCCGCTTCTTCTTTTTTGTTTCTCAGAATACACCCAATTCTATTCACAGCGTAATTGTTTCGCTTTTACCGCTAAAGTTACGGTGGATACAATGCATGTAAAAGTTTCCATAAATATCTCATCATTTTTATAATTTAATAAAGTATAAAACAATACCTCGCATAGTGCGGTTTCGATCAGTCCATAATCAATATAATCTGGTTTGAAAAATTCAAAAGTAAATACAAAAATACAAATTTTATTTCCCTTAATACAAACAAATCATTATTTGTGCGATTTATTTGTATTTATATTTAGTTCCTGAATTAGTCTGGGAATTGGTATATAAATTAATCACAATTTATTAAAAATCAGTAATTTTTCAACATATTCAAAAATTTACATTTAGATTAAGCAATTGAAGAAGGAATATTAAACAGAGACAATATACAAATTTAGTTTTAATATTTTGATTATATACGTTGTTAACTATTTATAATATGACAGAGGTACTTCGATAGTTGAAGGATTTCCAGACTTGTTTTTTTCTTCTTTATTTTGGAATGTGTTTCGTTATATATTTTTTGTTTACATATTTTATTTAGTTGATAATATTATTCTCTATTTTTTCGTTTTATGTAAAATCTTGAGTGTACAAAACTCATTTAAACACGCTCAGGGTTTAGGATTTGCAGCTTATTGAATTCACATTTTGTTGGAGTGATAAAGCGAATACTAAATACAACCAAAAGATGATTATTCTTCGTCTCCGTTGTTCGTCTTTATAGGATTTACAATGTTTTAAAGATGCTTGGTTATATGGATAGGAGAGGAATATTTGAAACATCTAATTTCACAATTATGGTATTCACACACATGTTTATTTAAGGACATCAGATATAGTAAATAACACAGATAGAGAAACACAAGGAAAACAGAGATCTTACAGTATAGCGAGTCCGAGGCATCGTTAAGAGGTAGTACCCTTATCAATCCTTCCTGGAATGTCCAACTGAAGTATGGCGCACCATACAGGGCTGGAGTGAGCACCACAGTACACCCTGCTAGTAATTTGGTTCGTGGAGCAAAATAATTACGTAGAATCGTCGAATAGAACTCCGGATGATGCCTAGATTGTCAACGGTGGGTAAGGTTCAGCAGCTGAAACGCTTTATTTCGGTGCACCATATGTGGAAGGATGTTGGGTTCTAGATTTCCAAGGAATTCGCCGCTTCTTGACAGTCACATCGTCAATAATAGTCGTATTACCGTGATGGAGTTCTGCGCTAGAGCACAAATATGGTCACTATGGAGTCGTAGTAGTGATCATGATTGTATAGCCGTTGATTTTGATGTAGATTTGATAAAGTTTGTCGATGTTGCTGAAGCCACCTCCTCTCACTTGATTTTATTCATTGGGCGTCATTTGACATGAACAGTAACATTAAAAGAAGGATTCTTCCACATTTACACGTGGGAAAAGCAGTTTTATGGTATTTTGTAAATTATTTAGGAAATCACTGTCAAATAACTGAAATTTGATGATATATTTTCGTCACTGTTTTACTTACTAATATAATCTACGTTCTATTGAAATAACGTTTTTAATGATATACTATAATCCAGAGTTTCTCAACCTAAGTGTGCGACCAAATAATGTTAATTTTTTAATGAGTGACAAGATGACAGCTGTCACTTTGAATTAAATTGTCAACAAGAAACATGTTATTAACTAACTACAAACAAGTCTGTTGGGTCGGCAAAAAATTTGAGAAACGTTGCCATATTTTATCAAATTTTTGAAAAAATTTAAATTAATTAAAATGGAATTGCAAGATTTAACTTATTTTTTTATGAAAGTGATTACAATTAGTTAACGCGGTTAGTAAAGTGATGAACCAATTCATTACTTTAAATGTCGGTGTAATGATGACTAATAATTATATATGTAACTACAAAAAAAAGTAGTTGTGAAAAGCTAACAATTAAAAGTCAAGGCTCCAAAGAATTCTGTGCAATATTGAAAAGTAATCGAACAATTCCCATGTTTGGATGAATGTACAGCAATACCTCGCATAGTGTGGCTTCGATTAGTCGGGATTTACTATAATTAAGATTGGAAAATTTTAATGTTTTTATTTCCTTTGTACAATTAATCCTCTTTTTGTGTAGTTTATGCAAATACAGCAATACCTCGCATAGTGCGGATAATCGGTTTCGCCAATATCCGCTACTAATCAAGGTATTTTACTTTTATTTTCAAAAAATAAATGGTAAAGATGTGCATAACTTTGCATTGGCATTGGCTTTAAAGAATGTGATTTATTTAACTAAATATTAGAAAGAGGCAACTGGTTTTACAAGTTACTAATTAAATTTGCTGGAAACAAAACGACGAATATTAATTTTTATATATGTCAAAGCGGAGGTGTAAAAAATGTAGTGTTTTTGATCATCTCCATGACATATGATATGCATTTCATAAATTACGTCTGTGTCTGCAACAATAAACACTGGACTCTGTTGCGGTCATCGGTGGCTATATATCAAACGGACACCGGTGTCTGCATTGGTGCTCAACCTGTTAAACCATATAAGCGAAAAACATCTATTAATCTTTTTCAATTGGCCATTTCACGTCTAACACGACAGTGCAAACTGTGGAAAAAAAATATGAATATAGTTGTTCAACTTCGGTTCAAGCTGCATAACAATACAAACTTGTGTTAAAATAAACAACGAAAAAATATTCAATGCCAGAGTCTTGTGTATTCAATGAATACAATTTTCATAATTATAACTTTTTTTCAACTCATACTCATTTTTTTTTTGGTGTTTTTTGACCATATTTTTATACAAGTGTTAATAGTTATTTGTATAAGAAAAATCGAATAAAATATTGATTTTGTCAAAAAAATATATTTAATAAGAGATTATTTGGGGTAAACGTTGGCAATAATAATTGCATATGTTGACATATTTATTACTGACATTAAGGTTTAAAAAAAGCTCAGACCCAAGTAAACAAAAATCCATGTAAATCCACATAAATAGTGACGTGATGAAGTTAGAAAAGTTTATTACAAAAATAATATAATAAATAAGGGCAAATAAGACTTACGTTTTATGATACGACGCAAAACATTTGGCTCTAGTTGAACTGCGACCCATTTGACGCAAGATGACAGTTGTCACTTTGCGACTCAATATAAAATTTAATGTTATCCAATAGGTTGAAACCACTGCATAAGACTTTATTGCTTTCTAATTTTAAATATTTCTTTGTGTTATTAGTTTTTATGTTAAATTTGGAAATAATAACAAAATATTTATGAATTTCTGTATTTGCATAAATGTTTCCAATTGGCAGCTTAAATAAATAAAGTTAGCGAGCGCTGCAACTATTATAACGCTGTTAGAATTTTCGAATCGAACTCCGTTCAAAAAATATTTTTTATTTTTCGAACGAGTCGACCGATTTTGATGAAACTTATTATACGCATTTTAGCGAGCGTTGATTATATTCAATTAACAATAATAATTTAAAGAAGTTAATATTAATTAATCGTTCTTAATACTACGTTAGACTAAAGTTAAGTAAATTTAATTTAATTGTAATTTATACTTGAACCTGCATATAAATCTATATAATATATTTCTGTCTTTAATAACATATTGTAAATATACAATAAGTTTTCTTTAAGACATCAACTTTGATACATTCTGATTGTTGGCTACATTTTATTCAAAATTTGACAGTTTATTTTTAATTTAATTGAGGTTATAACTGATTAAGCTGTCATATGTCATTTCTAATTAATATATAAAAAAAAAATAATTAAAATATGTTCATAATAATTAATTTTAATTAATGCTAGATAATAATTAAAACTGTTTGATGTTATTACTTAATTATTATTAATTGTATTTAATAAAATGGAAAGTTTTTTTTTTATATTCAAGACAATAACTGATTTACTAAATCTCAATCTGTTAGTGACATATTATAAATAAACAATTTTCTATAAGACATCGAGTTAGATAAGTGAAGTAATGTATTAATTCTCAAATTTATCGTTTCTTTGCTAACATATTGTCATCCATGATTCAATGAAAAATCTATTGCAATGTTCAGTAAATACAACAGTAGATAATATAAAAATGTAACTTATGCTTAGTAGTTCGTTGTAACGATTAATTTTTGTTGTTATGATTTGAATTATAAATACAGGAATACCTCGCATAGTACGGTTAATCAATCGCAGTTTAAAACCGCACTAATCGAGAATTTTAAAAGCGTATATAAATAAACACCACAAAAGAGATTTGATTTTTGTATTAAGTTTTTAAAATATATTTTGTATTTTGTTCAATTAAAATAGTTTGTTTCGAAATTTTCAAACCGTGCTACAGTGAATCCGCACTATTTGAAGTTTTTATAATTTCTGCTATAAATATTATTGTTGTTAAGTAATATTTGAAAAAATGAATATTTAAAGAAATAAGAAATTCTTTAAAAAAATGGAAAGTTTCGGATATGAAATAATTATTTCATATCTGTTAGTTTTTCTTTTGCTTCCTTTCCGAAAGGATAGATTGCACGTTTCCTGGAATAAGAACCGTTCATATAATAGTGCCGACCACCGAGAGGCAATTTACCAAACTAAACTACCTAATTGAAATTGAGTTGGATAAAAAAAATAGACGACGATCTATAACTAAAATCATATTTCACGTGAAACTTCATAATTCAAATTGATGGCTCCGTTTCCTGAGGCCAGACGGTATGGTGTAAAGTTAATAGGAAAGCAGTGGATATTCATTAGATCGCGATTAACTTGGATTTATGAATATCAAATGTTACGTTAAGAGCGAAAAATTCCTGACGTTTGAGGTTAATAAAAATTGAACATCGGATTGCATAATCGTTTGACAGCTTATGACGTTTGAACAATGTGCCGATTAAATTGAATTTATGTGTAAAAGTTAAAATTCGTCGGATATTCTGATAATTGACGTTCGACACTTTATGAAAGTTAAGAAGTGGTGATCAGATATAATGATAATTTGATATAATGGAGACTATAAATTAAACTTATTGTCAATGAATACTTACAAATAAGGATTATTATTGGTTGATTCCAATTTTCTCTTTTATGAAGATGATTGCATATTTCTTTACAAAATCCTGTTAAAAATGTACGCAAATGGCATATACATTGCTGGAAAGCGTCTCATTACTTAAATAATCAAGAAATATTGCTTTTCACAAAATATTCATATTGATAGAATTCTTTAAGTTACTTTCTCCCAAAAATCTCATTTTTTATATTGTTATATAATGTTGTTTTATTAATAAATTATAAGAAAAAAGTTTCTACTATTCAAATATGAAAATAATCCTTTAGTAATTTGTACAGTAATTACAATTATGATTGCAGCTGAATGCATCAACCTTCGATATGAAAATCCGCATTGAGATTATAGTTTTACAGGAAACGATTGATAGCAATATCGCGTTTGCACTATTAAAGGAGAAACTTTAAAATTATAATATAAATGTATATATTGTTATTTTCCGTCCGTTCCAAAAATGATGGCTTTCGAAGTAAATGCATGCAGTTCGTATATTCTATTTTTAAGTGGGTAAATAACTCATAGGATTCTAAGAATATGTCATATGCAAAGGAGGCGGAATAAAAATATAGTTTGTATGCGGAAAGAAATCCGTTCGAAGTAAATCATCGAGTGAGCGATGAATTAAAATAAAGGTTGTGGAACTGGGTTAAACGAAACGAAATACAAAATAGAAAAAAAAGTGAAAACCGAGACACTAAAATGAGAACATTTTTTTTGTTCGTTTTTGACGTTTCGTCAAGCTAACATTTTCGAAAATGCTTTTTGTATATGTAGAATTTTATAATAATTTGATATTTTAACTATTCTATACATTAACTAGTTATTATATAAAATAACGTTATAGTAACAATATTATAATATAAAAGTCATATAACTGTTCGAAAATGGTTAGCATTTTTGAGCTTAATTGTGCAATGAAAATATTTTATTATATAATTTACACATATCGCAGTTGTTTTTATATGGAAAAACTTGATAATGTATACAGCAGCGGTTCTTCAGTAGGAATTAAATGTAACATATAACGTAGGGTGGTAATATAAACATTTTCCAAACCGGGACTCTGCGGTTCTGTACACTTGGATTAGGTTGAGTCTCGAAAAGGATGATAGTGTGCTTGTAGATAGAACCGCAGGGCAGCGTTTGTCAATTCAATATTGTGTCGTGTCCCAGTGATGGAATTCTCGACACAGTGGAATATTCTCTGGTGTTGTCATTGTGGAGTCTCAGTTGTAGGAATTAAGTAGTTCGTTTGGTTTACAACAAGTTTATTATTATAATTGGTACTCTTGGGGTCATTTCCAAGATAATGTAGATACTTTAAAAGATTGACTAAGACTCTATCAGTCTGAAGGGATTACTGAGACTATGCTCATCATATTAACGTTTTACTGAGACTGATTCTAAATACTTATTCTACTTACAAAGTCAATTCTTATTAATACGGGGTGGGAGTTGTGATCGGGAGTAGGATTTGTATATATTGATGATTAAGCGTTCCCACGGGATTCGGTAGTTTTGTTTATTATAAGACCGGGACAAAATCCTATGCATTTGTTTATATGAAGAAGACGATCGATTACGTTTGTATGTATAATGATCATTATGTGTTTATAATAAAGACTTGAATTCGAAGTAAAGGTATAGGAGTATCGATGGGAATGTTTACGTTTGGTCCCCTTTGTTTATATTAAAGTGTATCGAACTGGGATCACGGTAGAGATTCCTTTATGTTGATGTATATGTTTATTTAATAATGCGACTAAGAGACGCCGTGAATGTTTCCAGTTCGTTAATACACTATATTAACAATAACAATTATAATAATAATGGTTGGACACAACAATTGGATCGCGAAATGACAGCTGTCACTTTACGTCAAAGGGTCAACAATGTATATTATTAATAAGTTGTTACGTATTCACTGTTAAATTAATAATAAGTATAATAAAAATGTTTGGTATATACAAAAATATACATATACAAAGGGTAAAAAATAGTTTATTTTATACTTTTATAATAAATTAATTTGTGGTTTAACATAGACAAAACACGATTACACAAAATATTTGAACAGACTTGTTGCTATTTAAAAAAAATAATAATGGGAAGGCATTGCGTATTGAACTTCAAACTTTGAATGTACTGCGTGATTAATAGTTAATATACTTTCGTAACAACAGAAGTTTATGCGGAATACGCTCATCGTAATTAATGATGGCTTTTGTAATTTGCTGGTAACAATTAGTCGCATTCCGTCTAATTAATGCAATTAACTTGTGCTTAATTTAAACGAAGAATAATTGGTATTTACGATTGAGTGCAACTGGTGATTTATTGCATTTAATAATCACTCAGCACGGACATCTTCGAATCCATCGAGTTGCCTGTATCAGAATCTTCGGTCTCGGCCTCCTCCTCAGGAGGTACTTCTATGTCGCTGAAATCGAGCATGTCGCTCATCAGAATCTCGGCGATTGTTCCATCCGTGTACATGAAATACTGCTTTGATTCCTCCCAGTACCTCAGGTGTTTCACCAAGGTATCCACGAAGACCCGAGTTTCAGGAAACAGGATCGATACGACCCTGTGCAGATTTACAGGTAGATGTCATTTTTTTGGGCAGCAAATATGTGAATAGAGATTACGTACTTAAACGGCGGCAAACAAAGCCTCCGGATGAAGTCCATCTGCATTTCAGGTATCAGGCATTTATCGAAGTTATCCTCTTCAGGCACGTTCTCTAAAGTTCCGAATACCTTTTCGGCCTCATTCTCTTGAAAGCATTCAGCGTATATTTGAACAGTGATCATCCTCACCACATTCCAAATCTACAAAGTGTACAATGTAGAACTCGAACAAAAGAAATTCGCAAATTCTCTTCCTACCTGAACTTGATCGCTCAAATCAGCGCAGGTCATCAGCAGCGCGCACAGCAATCTTCGGTATTGACGGCTTTTCGGTTTGTTGCATTTCTGCGCGTTATTTATTTTTAAATTGTTAAATCGTTCTACGAGGGGGAAATTATAATCACCGTCAAGATTATTTCCTGCTTCCTGGCGATTTTCATGTGCGTTAATGCGTCCGTCGCTAAAATGTTTTCTTTCAAGCAGTCCAGAAAACGAGAGTACGTTTTGTGATCCAAGTGTTCCAGAAAATTGCAACCCTTTATATCATAAACACATTATTAATGTAAATTAAATATCCAAAGTAATATTGCAATAATTTTGTGTATTAATTCTCAATCCTCTAATTAATTTTATCAGTTCCATGTAAATCAGTGTATTTGCATCCAAAAAAATAATATGAAAATTTATAGTTTCAACTTTGCTGTCATATAATTACGTCAAATTCAATAAATGACACTAGCTGACGTTTCAATATAATGTTAAAAACCGTTATTTACTGCGGTATACTTTTCATACGGAAAAAGTTATTAAAGCAAACTCAAAATATTTCTGTCGGCAAATATGAAAATATGGGACACTTGGAGGATTATTAATAGATTTTTTTTTATGTTTACGTCAAAATATTATGGAAAACTAAACTAAACATTTTTAAATTAACAAAATGAAGGATTTAGATACGAAAAGTAGTGATAGTTAAATTAAGTATAAGGCAGTAGTGTTTCAGAAAGTCTACATACTTCACTGTTTAAAACGCAAATAGTCCTCGTGAGATGGTGTTCCTCCAAGACCGAAGTGTTGCTGGTGTACAGGACGGCTAAGCTTTTTTCAACTTTTTCGCAGCCCGTGTGATCTATATCGTGGCACAATATTGAAACCATCAAAGCCAAGATTTCCAATGGGCTGCAAATACTAAGATTATAGAGCATGAAACAGATGGAATCAATTGAATTAAACCTCAGGATATCGTTTGATAAAAACTCGAGAGTGGTGATGAGGCCATACATGAAACAGGTAGCCGAAAAGGCATGCATCCAATTGTGGTAAGGCAGAGCTCTGTAGTTATGCTGAACACCTAGGATGAATTTGGAGAGAATATTCTTTTCGATCTTGAGCGTGCTTAGTAGATTAAGATTCTCGAACATCTGCACCACCAGAAGCGTTGATTGATGGAATGGAACGTCTCTACCGTTGAATTGAAGTTTCCCGAAGTCATCGAATTTGGGTCTCTGCGCGTACATCATATGCTTGATGTCGCTAGGTCTTATCTGGATGTTGCACATAAAAAAAATAGTGATAATTGCTAAAAATGATGGTGGCAATGATTACAAGTAATGGTTCCATTAGAATGTTGTTGGTCAAGATGCGTTTGTCCAAGTTCTCGTCGATGATCTTGTATTTGTTGGCATGGGCGATGGCTAGGCCTGTGTACAACCCGAACATGCTAGCTGCGTCTTCATCGAAGACGCTGAAGTATTCGGCCTCGATTTTGTTGGCTAAATAACAAACTCCAAAGGCGTTGTGTCCATCTCTCAATGGGACGCAAAGAATGTTCCTGGTGATGAAACCACGACCTTCGTCATCCGCTTTATGGAAGAGCTTGTGCCCGTAGGCATCCTTTATATTCAAAATATTCCCGGTCGAAAATACGAAACCGGCGACACCTTTGTTCTTCGTAATAGGACTTCCGCCCAACACTTCGTCGTTGTACTCCTCCAGGTAGACGCTCTTCTTGTCCAACATGTACAACCTGCACACTTCAGCGCTCACCAACATCCTACCCTCCTCCAAGATATCGTGCAGCAGATCCTTCAGATCAACGAGACGCGTGAACAGACCGTTCACGATGGTGAGGATCGCGTGCGTCTGCAATTTCAACCGCAGTTGTTCTTCGGCCTTCAGCGTGTTCAGGAAGACGGGCAGACAGAATCTGAACGTCTCGTCAATCAGTTGTCCGACGAACGTGATCTGCTGAGTGCAGTTCACGATGCAGATCACAAACACCGGCCCCTTATCATCTTCTGCAACGTAATAACATAACATAACATACGTCAATTTCGAAAACGAAAGCGTGACATCATTGAATCGCGCTGCCCCCGAATTACAATGTGATCCCATTATCGCATCAATGGAAATTAATTCCAAAATTGCCTAATTCGCGTACACTTCCTTGGTGGTTACGCAAAGCCAATTTGGAAACGGGTCGGTTAGGTTAGTTAGTAAACAAGCTAATCTTGATTGCCATTAGCATTCGCAACAATCGAAACACAAATTGAGCATTTTTTTTATTCTGCATTCACGAACCGCAGAGCGAACATTTTTCATTAGCACAATTCAAAGTAACACTTTTCACATTTTATTTTTGTATAGAAAAAAAAATAGTTGTGATTACGTACGGAAATAAAATTTGGACCCTTCGCAATTCAAAATGTTATCTGATCATTCCATTATTTGTTTTTTCTCTTTTCACATAAGTCACAACGAATCAAAGGTCATGTAATAAAAGCGGTTTATATATAGACGCAGATTTTTATCAATGTGCAAATAAATAGGGGAATTTCTAAAACGGGATGCATTATTCCAATTGGATTTGCATGGCCTCAACTTTATAAATATTTAGATTTTTGTTACGTACAAAACAAACAATTAACATATTCTGCTGAAATTCGTAAAGAGAAATAAATGTGTAGAAGTGTAGGTAATATATGCAACCAATTTAACAATTCGATTCAAAAAGTTTAGATAAATCAATTTTCATTAAAATATCATCTTATACAAATACGCAACCAAAATAGCAGTAATTGCGGAAATGCGCATAACTGTAAACCCTTTTGCTAACTGTCATACATCTATTAGCAAGAAACGGCGCATTTAGTATTTATTTTATTACTATAACTAAATAACTAACTCTCACTTAATTTTAATCATTGGTCTTTCTTAGCAACTGGGGTATAATAATTAAAATACCCTTGTTGATAACTATAAGTGAACATTAAGGTATAATTTATATAAACTGTCATATGTCATTAGCAACTTTTATAAGATGCTGAAATCAACTTTGCCATAGAATCTACAATAAAATGAGAATTTATGCTTAATCGAATATTTCATGAAACAAAACTCATTAATAATAAAGGATGTTGTTTAGTTCTTACATATTAAGATGATTACTTTTCTTTTACAAAAACAATAGTAATCAACAATTATAGCTGTCATACGGTTTATAACAACTGTAAGACGTTTTTAGAAACTGTATATAACAATCAAAATTTGTTCTAAATAACTGTAATTCAATTAATTATAACCTTAATTCGTATTAACTGAAGTTGCATTTATAGCAATCAAAATAAATTATATATAAAAGCACGGTGACAATAGAAACACATTTTTAAAAACTATAGACGAGCCGTCCCTGCTTGTTACTATACTACCAAAACGTGTCTTCATCGACTTTTTTTTTTGTTAATAACCAACTTAACTACAGTATATGATAAATTACTACAAAATTTCAATTCGGTAAAAAAGCAAGAGAAAAAATGTCACGATAAACAAAAATAAGCAAGTAAACAATGATTGTGCATATATTAATAGAAAATTATTGATTTTACTTTCTATATTTATAAAAATTATATATTTGAAAGAGAAAATATAAAAAGATAGCTAGCGCTTAATATTTGTTGACAAAATTGATCCTAAATGTTCATAGACATATAAAATCTTTAAATGCATAAGATATTCTTAATAACAGAAATAAGTATAAACTACTTGATGTATATATACGGTTGCCAGACTTTTTCGTCGTCAATTCAGGACAGTGGAATTTTATTAAGAACATAAAACAAAATAATCTCAGAAATTTTATAAAAATTATTGAAATATTTTAAATTTTTATTCTATTTACCATGGCTCGTAATAATTTTTAAAGTTCGGGAAGCAGCATTGTAAAATAAATAAAAACTCGATAGATAATGATAATAAACATTCTCTTTGCTCATTTCTACGACGATATAAAATAAAATATTTAATAATTTAAAAAACGGAAATAATGAAACAGAAATTTCCATTTTATGCAGGAGATGATACAAGTCTAGATATTATGTCAGCGTTACCAATGTCGTAAATGAGTAATCAGATGCAGTAATCACAGCAGATATTTCTTTTTGATACTAATTCAATACGTCATGAAATGATATAATTCATATTAGTCGTTTAGTGATTCACATTTTGGCAATAATGAGAAAACGATTATGAGGAGTTGTTGTTGCATCTCTCAATGATGAATTGCTACTGTTATTTCTATTTCTATATATTTGTAATACATTAAATGTTATGGTAAGTAATTGATTCATGTACGGATTTTGACTCATTTTCTTTACCTGATTCATCAGCGTGTTCGAAAACAGGAAAAGCATAGATTTCACCACCGAGAGCGTCCGATGCAACTTCCCTTAATTCCGTTGCCAAATCGGAGTTCATCCTATTGAAGCCAATGTGTATTCCGCCTCTTTCGGCGCTGAACGCATCTTCGACGAAATTATCATTCAGCGGCAAATTTAGCTGATTCTCCAACAAAGTTTTCCCGATGATTCGAATCACGGCCTCCCCTCTCACCGAGAAGAAGTTAATTAAGAACACGGTCGAGCAGGTTGTCTCCTCTAAAAACTGAACATCTGTAATGGCGCGCCAATGAATCACCGAAACAATTATAAAAATTATACGTATTTATTTAAGAGGATTTCGAGTTCCCTTGAGTGTCCTTGCCTCAGGGATTCGCACAGCAATAGCAAGTGCGCCGGGTCACTACTCTTCAGCCTCAAGGTGGGCGTCTGCTTTCTCCTGCATTTTCCGTCGTCCTCGCTCTTCCGCACGTAAGGAGGCGGGATCATCAGGTGAGCCTTGGGCTTCTTGAACAAATTGTACTGACAGAAGTCATCCATGCTGTTGATTTGCTAATCGAAACTATTTCAGAATTTCCAGGAATTTTCAGTTTCCACCCTCCCAATTCGAAATACGCGTGACGTTCAAATGTCAAATTGAATTGAAATAAAATAAATAACAAAACACAACATATTTAATAGAAAATATAACTGGAAGATTTAATTTATTAATATTATACACAAAAAAAAAACACGTACATTTAACAAAAATAATTACTAATACAAATGTAACATAAAGATCAGTCGATTACTCTTTGTGCTCTCGTTCAACTGTAACAGCGGGCCTCTTTCTGGTCATCCTCTTGTTAGACGTCTTCTTCTCAGTGGTGCTCGGTCCATGCGCATGGTAGTTGTACAGTTTCGAATGAAGATCACGGCCTAAATCCTTCGAGGATTTATGAAGATTCTGATCGCTGCTTTCGCTGTGCTGCGCTTCCTCCACAGGGGCGGGCTGTTGGTTCTGCTCGTAAGTGTATTGCGGAGGATTTTGCGTCTCTTCGTATTGGTATTGCTGCTGTTGGTAATATTGACTCGGGTCCGGGTAGTTTTGATAATATTGGTATTGATATTGTTGGGGTTGTTCGTAGAATGGTTGCGCTGGTTGAGGATAATAGTACAGTTGCTGATTTTGATCTTGGTTCTGCTCGTAGGTGTGCTCTTGCACTTCGACCTTGCTGAAAGTGTTTTCAGGGATGGTTATTTTGAATTTTTTAGGCAGCTGCGGGATCTGAGGCGTCTCCTTATTCGGTTGTTTCGTGAAAATGACTTTCGTATGATCGTTGCTAGGGTAATTCTCGTGAGTCAACAAACCGTCATTGGGTTGTTGGTAATAAACTTGTTGCGGTTGTTGGTAATATTGCGGCTGATATTCTTGTTGTTGATACTGTTGAGGTTGTTGATATTGTTGGGATTGCTGGTACTGTTGGGATTGCTGATACTGTTGGTATTGTTGCGGTTGTTGTTGGTACTGTTGATGCTGTGGTTCTTCTTGGTAATGCTGCTGTTCATGTTGCTGTGGATGCTGTTGCTGCTGTTGTTGCTGCGCGTAACCAGAGAGAAGATTCTGCAGATCGACCGACCTTAAGCTAGAGTAAGGATGGTTTTGCGGAATGTTGGGATGCAGCTCGCCGCCTTGATTCAATTGGTTAGTGTACACTCTTAAGACGATAACTGGAACCATAGAGTTGCCTTGATGCTGCGGCGCTTCCGAACTTAACTGGCTGACGTGACCGTTCTGATCCAAACTGGAGAAGAGCGTAGTGCCATGTTGGTAATATTGGTTCAGATTCTGCTGCTGCTGTTGTTGCTGCTTGGGCGCTTCGTAATGCTGAACTGTGGTGCCCAAATCGTACTGAACTGATTTCTGGATATCGAAAGCTTGTTGCTGCTGTTGTTGCGCTGGCTGCTGATGGTGATAGACTTGCTCCTGCTGGGCACCTTTGTGTCCTTGGAAGAGGTCCTGCTGCGAGTACTTGTAAACTTCATACTTGGGCGGCCTCTGTTGAACTCCAAAGAAGCTCTGATAGCCGTATCCTAACGATGATTCAATAGTCCTCTTACGACCGCTTCCTGTCTTCGTGGAATTGTCGTTCGAATCTATAATCTCGATCGCAATGATGGCTTTCTGGTGTTGCTGGCCCTTCTTGGTTTTGACAGTTTGGTGTTTCTCATCCTTCTGAATCGTCCCAAGATCCTTCTGAGTCTTCTTGATCCGTTTTCCATAGGTTGCTGAGTAACAGCAAAACGCCAAAACCACCTAAAATAAAACAAAAAATATTAATAAATTTATTTAACTATATTCTTAAATTTATAAACCTTCTAGATTACATTAGTATATTGAAGCAATTACAACGGTTGTGGTATTTTTTTTTACAGAGAAAAAGAGAATGACAGGAGATTCGGTTCCAAAATTATGAACAATCGCAAGAATGCTCAATTAGTGAAATAAGAAAGAACTGGAGGTGAAAAGTAAAGAAAGATGTGGATCAGACGGGAAACGGACGGATAAATACTAATTAGTGAAGTCCGGAAGCGCGAAATTTCGCAAGCCAATAATTCCCATAATTGTTGTGATCCTCCCATTAACTCAATTTTGGAGGTATTGTTACCAAAATTTGTGGGCATCAATCTCATGGAATTAGCCGACAGTTGGTGGTATACTTTCACCCGGATCGGCGAGGCCGAAATAATAAAAAACCATCGGTTTTACTTTCTATGGCCGCACGAGATTTTGCCTGCTCCTCTTCGTCGCCACGCTTCTTTCACTTTTCCCCTGAAGAGCTGTCAGATAATTAAAACTGTCTGAAGATACTGACTGCAAGTCAATGGAACGTAAACACCTCCTGCATTTAATTACACTATTCGTTCACGAAACGCCCGACTACAACTTCTTTAGAAAGCAAGCGAAAAAAAAAAATCCATCTACAATTGGTACCCTTCATCGAACGAGATGTTAACTGCACGACACTTGCCTTTGGTAATGAATTTAAACAATAACGCAATTGCTGAATGCTGCAAGGATTTTGTTTAGAGGAAGTGTTTGCTTCGTCCGGAAACGCAAATTGCATCAAAAAAAAAGGAAGAATCACATATTAAAATTGTTTTATTATGAGGCAGAGGCGTAACGAGAAGTAATTCAACGATGAAAGTTTTTAATAATGCAAGGAAAGAAAGAAGCAAACAAAATAACAATTGTCGTGACTATGGCAGTTGTTTTTCGAGAGCTACCAACTGATACCAGTGAAACTAAACGATCATTACTACACTTTTAATGTATTAAAAATGCAAATGATTGCTTTATTATCGGATTAGTTCACGTTTCTCTGGCAACGTACGACGCCAACTAAACACGTTGATCTATTGGAACATTTTGCACGACTTTTTCTTTGCTTTCGTATATTGAAATTGGTTACATCAATCATCATTTATTGATACATCAATACGTTTAAACAATGCTAATTTTACAATTACTTCATTATTATTTATCACAACAACAACAAAAATAAGATTATTTAAAGTTTTATATTAATTAAAACATAAAATGTTTATAATTATTAATTAGAAATAATCAATTGAAATTAACTCAATTAAACTTTGGACGCGGCAAATTAGAGTAAAAGTTATGTGGATTTCGTAAGACATTCATTAAAATAATTTATAGATAATTTCCTATAATTACAAGTCCATTAAAAATTCACCTTGTTTATGTATTATCTGCACTAGATTTAATTACCTGCTGATTGTAAAATGGAAATATTTATGTTTATAAATACATAAGACAATTAAGAGTATTATGTAATGATTATAAAATCACGTGGACCTTTAAAGATTATGCATTAGTTATATTTAAAGCTGTGATATTACCGGTGTAAAACGATGATAATTTTACCCACATTTATTGCAGCATTTACAGAATATGGACAGGACTGGTCCGACTCGCAATAAATGTTTATGATCGTAATGAATACATTTTTTTTTTCAGATTAAAACGGAACGCACGACCAAAAAACGCAGTTTAAGTCACTTTTGATTTCAAGGATGCAATTTCTTGCACTACATAACAAGATGCTTGAGAAAGGTCAGAGCATTTATAAGTTCATAAACATTTGTAGTTATTTTATTGGATTTTCGAATACCGTGAGCTTTCGTAAGTAGATTTTTTAAATATCGGTGAATAAATTAAAAGACAATTGTTGGTAAAACACCATTGACGATTTCGTTTTGTTGCATAATTATATTATATAACTCAGATGTAGATCAAAATTTGATGGGCGTTGCGTTGTTCAATATGGAATAACATCATGCAAAATGTTTGCTTCAATCATACGAATTAATTAAAAAGTTTAACTAATGGCAACATTATGTGCGAATGCAGCTGTAAATTAAACACGTTGTATAGTTAAAGCTGTCATTTCAGTATAACTGGCATCTGTCAACGTGGCAATTAATACTAGTTGGTACACTTGACACATAGACATAAACTCCTAGTGGGTTTAGCTAACTGCCTTATGGTAATAAGCGTTTTGTTTATACGATGACCCAAAGACATGTAGAGTATAAATCCCATTACAGACGTACTTACAATTATGTACAAATGGGAACAAAGTGAGTAAAAACAGCTGTCAAGTCAAGTTTAACTGTTATTTATCAATGTGACAATGAATGATAGTTAGTACAATTGACACACATATTTTTTTTTAACTCTTAGTGGGTTTAGCTAATTACTTTATGGTAAAAAGCGTTTTGTTTTGAAAATGACCCAAAGACATGAAGAATAAGAATATGTATATATATTGATGACAGATGTACCTACTATTATATATATGCTTCAATTAAACACATTGTACAATTAAAGTTATCATTTTAGTTTAACTGTCATCTGCCACTGTGACAATCAATGGTAGTTGACACATATAATTCTAGGAATTTTTTGAAGGTTTAGCTAATTACTTTTATCATAAATCGATTTGTTTTCACAATGATTCAAAGATATATAGAGTACACATATGTATAGATGTTAGATATACTCTGTATTATATAAAATGAAAGCTGTCATTTCAGTTTAATTGTCTTCTATCATCGTGCCAATCAATCGTATTGATATTTTAACACATATCATTTTATTCACTCTTTGTAGATTTATATAACTGTCTTATGGGGTAATTAGGGGTTTGTTTTGAAAATAATTCAAAAACATGTAGAGTAGAATTATAAATTGATGATACATATGGCAATAGCATTAGTAACTTTAAATTAAACACGTTTTATAATTTAAGCTGTCATTTCCATTTAACTGTCATCTTTTAAAGTGACAATCAATCGTAGTTAGTACATATCGATGCATATACATCTCGTGTCATGCATATGTAGCGTATGAGCAGTTTTTGGACTACTTTTGAAAGAATGGGAAGCAATCTAATGAATCTATGCGATGAAAATGCAAATGCTGTTGTATACGTTCGTGCAATACAACGTTCTGGAATTTAGAAACTTGCATCCCAGTTATTGATTTACACTAAACCGAAGCGTTTCAGTTAATTAGAATATACGCTGTATAATTTAGATATAAATACAAATAAAAGCAGGCCAGTTTAAATGCAATTAAAACGGCCTTTCAATTACCAAAGATTAATGACTGCATAATCCACAGTCCAGTAAATTGCGCGTTTCTTGACACGAAAAAAAACTGTATTATAAAATGAAAAAAAAAACGATTCATTTATTAATTCAATTTTCACTTTACCTATGCAAGTTAGATTAGAAGTCATTGATATAGAATTAAAAATAATTAATTTATATCTAGAAATTTTAATATAAGCGTCTTTATTTAAAACATTCAATTAATTGCTTTTATTCTGGTTAAATTACGAACGAAACGGAAAGTAGTTAATTCAATTTAAATAAACAAACATCTACGGAGAAAGTTCTAAAGATATACCACAACAAGCTCAAATGTACAAATGTGTACATTCGAAATGCCAACTGCTGCGCATATAAAAGTTGCACGCTGCAATTTGTTGTTGTTTTTGGAAAATGAAGAAAACAACGCATATTAATTTCTCGATTGAATGGAATCACTTTTCAATAAATTTTTTGAAAAAAATATTATAAAAATCGTTTGTTTCTTTAAGACATTCTCGAATTGAAGTGGTTCGTGTTGATTACATTTACGGTATTTTGCAAAGTCATTCCAACATTGAAATTCTTCAGGCATTACAATTGCACACGACCTAGATTTGAAGACACTTGAGAGTGAAATTTTGTGATAAGTACATGAGTCACATTCAAAGAAATTTGTAAAACAATATAAAGACTCAATAAGTCCATCATTTTTGATAAAGTCTACATAAAATTAACACAGTTGAACTAATTAGAATCATAGTCTTTACAATTATCGAATTTCTGATATTTATGAATTAATTTTTTAACAATACTTATAAATTATCGATGGCAAACGAAATCCCGACGTTCGTAATACCGAGTGTATCTAAATCCCGACGTTCGAAATCAAGACTATGTCAAAATCCTGACAATAAAAATTCCGACAATATCGAAATCCCGACAGTGTCTTCTATTATTATAAATTTCTATAATAACATTTATATGGTAGTCGGAATTTCAATATAGTCGGGATTTTGACAAAGTCGGGATTTCGAACGTCGGGATTATGGTAGTCGAAATTTTGACATAGTCGGGACTTTAATACAGTCAGAATTTCGAATGTTTGGTTGTCGGGTTTGCGATATAGACCCATAAATTATAGCTTATAGAATTTCATTGTTGATTTTTTTTTAACTAATTAACAGTGACATCTCTTATTGAAATACAAAAATATTACAATTTCATTCATTTCACCTTGTTTTGTAAAGGTTTTATTATTGTTTATATTTCTTTTGTAATTACATAGGAAAGTTTATTATTTAATTGCATATAATCATGTTGTTTATTAATTTAAATTAATTCTTTGTTCCGTTACGCGGAACTTGACATTCTTCATTCATCTGTAAATGTCATAAACGCGATATTTCCTAGGTCGTTCTGCTCCATTAATTAACATTACTTTTGCAATTTGCATGCTATTACTAAATTGTTAATTAAACACTTACAGCATATTTAAATACACTCGTTTTTACAAGTATTGAAAAAATAGGGAAGGGAAAAATGAAATGCAGTAATTGTAAATGATTTACAACATACTGAAAATTAACGGTAATTTGAGCACAGATTTTTTATCCGTACATTTCCGTATAGTGAGATTGTAAGCTTATAAGGATTTAACACGTAATAATTGATTGTTGATGGTACATCTTCATGTGATGTAACTAATTTTATTGGTATAAAAATACATATAATTGAAATAATTGCTGTATTACCTCGCATAGTGCAAGTACTTGGTTTTGCCATTATCTTGGACTGTTTGAAACCGGATTAAATGAATCATTTATGTATACAAAAAATAATTTTATGTACTAATTTTTCAGAGTTTATTTTTAATTTAGTTTATTTTGACATTTTCAAACAGTGAATCCGGACTGAACGAAGCCGCACTTTGCGAGGTATTGCTGTATATCAGTATATATTTTTATGTGAAGACAATAAAGTTTAATTTTCTTAAATTTGGATATAAATTTTATTATTATAACGGAAACGGAAATTGAAAAATTATTACTGTTACATTCACCAATTATATAAAAAAAGAAAATTAATTATAGTTTTAATTATTATGTTTTAAAGTTATTTTAATTATGTATAGTGAAAGTGATATACACTTGTCCACTTGTACACTTTGTCCACTTTGGTACACTTGTCCAAAGTTTGTAAAATGAAACTATCTTCAAATTTAGTTAGAACATAAATGTTAATAAGTTATTTGATGCAATTTTATATTATGTAAACATTTTCCTGCATTATTCGAACTAATTACTGTAATTATTAATAAAATTAATTAATCATTACTAATTGAAAATTAAATGTTAAACATTGAAATGTTGGAATTATCTGATAATTGCTTTACATCATTTGCAAAATAGTTTTATGTGATAAACAAATTTAATCTAGTTTAATTTAATAATAAAGTAAAAAATCGAACGACTGGAAATAACTTAAATAAAGAACTTGTCTAACAAATCTCTAACTAGAGGAAATCAGTTAATAACATATTCAATGTTGTAAAGAAATTAATGATTTGATTATAAATTGCTCGAAGAAACGCAGACGTAATATAGCATATTAACAGCTAGAAACTATACTAAGAAGTTGATGCAAACAGAAGTTATTTTTTTTAGAAATTACAAAGAAAGGTTGATACTCGTATAAATGCACTAGTTGTTAACTTATTGCATAACGGCATTAGAGACCAACGACTGAAACGGTATAAAACACTGGATATTTCAATGGATGTTCTCTTATTACTTTAATTATTGTTAATTAATGAGTTACTCAATTAATACATAAACATAAATTAAGAATAATACTAACAATCTTTTCATCATTAATAATTACAGTTTATGTTAAAAAAATAAATAAATTTCTACTAAATATTATGATTATTAAATATTTTAATTTATAAAAAAATGTGAAGAGAAATTAACAATTAGTTAAATAATCATTTTTTTATACTAAAAATGTTTGTTTAAATTGTTTTAATAAGCAATTAATAATTTGTAATTAATGTTAATGATGGTCTTTATTTCACACATTTTTTGTCTGTAATTTTCTAATTGTTGCAAAAATTAATATTTTTTCAAATGATTAAATCGTTTTGGTTGAAACATATTTACTTTAATGTCTCTATTTTGCTTAATTGAAATGAATATGTTTAAATGGTGATGGAGTAAAAACACTTTTAATGGGTTTTAAAGTTATGCATGTTAATTTAACGTTGGTGTTTAATGATTTTGCACGTATTTAAAAATAAACGACTGAAGAGTTTTTGCAAAACAAAGTTGGTTCGGATGAGGAAGAAAGGCAACGATTGGACGATTCGATTCCTTCTATTTGTATTTCAATAGTAAGTTGCGTTCAAAAGAAAGTTTCGTTTCTTCGTAAGTCCATCAATTTGTACGTGCATCGGTGAGATCTAATTGTTCTTCGTTCCGAAAGGAAGAAGAAATGACATAATCTATTTGCGCCTCAATTAATGCGGCAGGAGACGCGATTGTCGTCGTACGTAATTGAGAAACCATAGAAGACGAAGGAATATACGAAAACCATATATGCACGCCACAATTTATTACCCAATGCTTTTACTGCCTTCGCGCTCATTATACAATTTCCGTAAATAAAAGTGCACGACGCAAAGAGACGTAAGGATCTTATCCATTTCCGACGACTTTCACGAACGATCATCCCGTATCTCATCAACAACAAACCGTTAGAAATACACTTGAACAATTAATTATAAAATTTGAAAATTAAAACTTCCGAACATTAATGAACAACACTTTGCTTTGTTTAATGATTATTATTATTATTGTTGTTATTACCAGAAGTAGAAGTTTCATCCTGTATGTCGATCCTCTAAAAACAAAAAAACAACTACGAGAAACCTGAAGCACTCTTGATGCTTTCGCGCACTAACCGACGTTGCTGCAGCGGCGATTGTTTTATATCCGTTCTCGTGCGAGATGGTCCATGATTTCTGCTACTCCTCCACTTCTTCGTTCTTCCACCCCGATGCCCACTCTTCCTGCATGTTCACTCTTTAACGCGATCATGAGACCAAGACACCTCGAGCTCGACATTCTTTCGGTTGCGCGTATACCGAACTCCGGATTTATCATGTTATTATGCCACAGCATATGGTTGATCCGAAGACACGAGAAGTAATTAACATTTTTTTCTATATACTTTCCCATTGGAGAAATGCTCATCAGTGCCCGAAAAAATATATGAAACAACGGCGAAAGTCATTACGACACTTTTTTTGTCATAAACAAACATTTTTTTTACTATTATATTTTTCTTCGTTGGAATTGTTTGTGAATGAAGGGTAACAAAAAATTAGAATATTTTTGATAATTAGTCTGTTCCGCCTGAATGATCATTTCCTATTTATGTTAAATAACATTCACTTTAGAAATTATTAAGTTTTTTCACAAATAAACATTATTTTTATTTGTTATTCATTAAATTCTTGGTTTTGAAATAGTAATATTCGAGGAAAAACAAAATCGTTTATCGCTTTGATATTTCTTCGTTTTCAGCTGAGAGAATGAAATTGTTTCAGACAAATATTATTAATTTGCACTTATTTTTTCATTATTGTTTTCTTTATTTAACAGAATTATTCGATAAAATAAACAGACAAAAATGAAATATTTTACATTGATCATTTTCGGATGAAAGGAATGACATACCTCTATTTCACATTTACATTACAAATAATTCTTTATTTCTTCATTTAATTTTAATTATTTGTATTTCCAGAAAAACAGTAAAGTAAATTATTTCTAATTGATAATATTTTGAATTGAGATTTCCTCATAATCTGCTGAAAAAAATGAATTGTTTCACATAAACAAATTAGTGTAATATTTTTCATTACTTTCTTTTTTATTAACCAGAATTGATACTAAGTAGAGGAAGTACACATTAAATGCGGAAATTCTCATTTGGTAATTGAGATTTTGTAATTTTAAGTTAAAAAAATGCATTTATTTCGCATGAATATAATAAATTGGTAAAAATTTAAATAATTTTATCGTGTCGCATGTCGGTTACAAATTGGTGCAAATTTTGTAATTAAAAATTGAATGGGATAGTTTTTACAATTGGAATTTCTTCATTTGCACCTAATTTGTTCATTTATTTTCTTCGTCAAAGAAAATTGTTTGTGTCTTGAGGAAAAACAGGAAAATAATATTCATATGAATAATCGGTATTGTTCGTAAATTGAGGAAAATTAATAATAGTATCTTTTCGTTTGTTAATTTTTGCTTTTGGGAATTCATTTTAATGATTTATTTCTATTAATTTCTCCTTCCTCAAATGCTGTTGTGTATCAGTTTGATGTTTTTCGCAATTTAAATTACTTTTCTACTGAAATAATTATATTCTTACAAAATTGAGCATTTCGTTTTCATCAAAAACAATTATTTGTATCTTATGAAAAATAGCAAAAATCAATTTTTGCTTTCAATACTTTATGCATAATTTTCTCGTTTTCTATTGAAACGAAATCATTATTTCTCTTGAACTTTATTATTTGGTACTTTTTTAATCTGTATTTTTGATAATTTTTGCAATTCGGATTTGATTTGAAAAGAAAATTGCCAATTCATAATTCGTCCATTTTCATTAATCGAAAATTTTCGTAAGTCAAGGAAAATTAAAAAAATATATTTTCGTTTGTTGTTGAAATTTATTTATCCCTGAAATGACATTGCATACACTGTGGAAAACCAAATAAAATATTTCCATTTTATAATATTCTCAATTGTGATTTCCTGTTTATTCGGATGAAAGAATTCGTCCGTTTCACGTGAACGTGAACAAATTGGTGCAAACGGACAATTCGAATTTGAATATTCGCCGCCGTTCCGTACGTAATTTATGCGAAACGGTTTTTGCGAAACGCGAACAACGCGTTTATGATCGTTCTCGCGCGTTCGCACACGTTACGCAACTGCGGATTGCTGTGGCCTGTACGATTTACATGTTATTATTCGTTCATTTCGCACGATTTACTATCTACATTTCATCTACTTTGTGTAACAATGCAGATAGAAACTGTTATTGAAAGGATTACGTTCCACCAAAAACATGATCATTGTTATGGAAACATATTTATTGTTTGCTGTTGCTATGATACCACTCATTATTTTACAGAATGCGTTCCTAAATTTATTTATTACTGTTCCAATTGTTTTTTTTAATTTATAAAAAATATAAGAAAAGAAATACAATCACTCATCGAAATATAAAAAGATTGCTTAACTTTCGTAAGCTTTAAAATATCGTTTAAACATCAATTTTGAAAATATTTCTGGTGTAAAAAATTGTAAAATCGAACAACATAAAACGAGATCGAAGTTTTTATTTAAAATACATACTATAGTGTAGGTAATCGGTTTTTCTAATATCTCGCACTGTTTGAAACCGGACTATGCTGTATTATATATTTTTTTTTAAATACAATCAAATATTCTAATCAATACTTTTGTTCATCAACAAAGATTTCGTTAAAATCCATATCAGTTACATGAACTTAATAAATTGTCAGTAATTAGTAATTTAGATTGTTTTTATCTAATTACCTTTGAATCTTAAACTATTAATTACATACACTTGTATATGAGAAAACTGGCTTTCAACTTTGTTTAAATGTAAATTTTTTGATGAGGCAATATATTATTGATTTTGGTATCACGTTTATTTTATTTTGAACGCCAGATGCTAAATGAACTAAAACATATGTTGTCTAATGCTTACTGAATAACTTAAATATGGTTGGGTAAACAATTTGCAATTTTTTTTATTATGTTATGCGATTTTCGTGAATTTCTTTAAAAGCAATAAACTTTCGTTGTTCTTAGTAAATTCGTAAACGATTATGTTGGATAATTACAGGAAGGCCAACAGTTGCGCATACTTCTCTTGTTACGTGTAGTTTTAGCTTTAAAATGCATATTTGGAGAGAAACTGATCTTAAGTTGTAATTAAAAAAAATACGTTTTAATAAAATACTTTACTATTCTCATTATTGATCTCATTATATTTAGTTCAAATTTGTTGCAGAAAAAAAATTAAAATGATGACTGTATAAAAGAAAGATGCTTATATTCTCAAAAATATGTTAATGTTATAATTAATATTGTGTTATAATAAATCTTGTAAGCTTATCAACAAAATGTTCATTTAGAATAATTCTATCATTCGTGTTAATTGATATATTACCTTACTAATATTTTGAGATATAAAAATTATAAATTACAAATATTTTCTTTTGATGAAACATCAGTTTTGAAGAACTATAATAAAATTGAATATAATATTCTCGTCTGTGAGATTGCAGAATTTCAAATTAATTTGAGTAAATATTCTGTAGTTATATTTGTATCTGTTTCTATTATTTGTATATAATCCCACATTTCGTATGAAATATACTAATTTTTATACTATAGTGGAACCTCGCTTAACGAATTTAATCCGTTCCAAACTTTCCGGATTTTTACTTGTATAGTGAAATATATTATAAAAATGATGTAGCAGGCGTGCAATCCGGGACTTCTCTTCTCCTTGTCACTCGTTATGCGAAACGTCGCTCGTTAATTCAAAATTCTCAAAGTTTTTTTGATAATTTTGAATTCAAAATGTATATATAGTAATAATTAAAACGGAAGAAATGAGAATATAAAACAAGAGTAAATAATGAAATAATTGTATCCATGAGAGAATGTATTAAATCTTATAAAACTGATTTATTTTTTAATTAGAAAATATTCAGTTTGAAAGTCATAAGTCCGGAAGGTGCAGTGTATAAACTGTTGTTGCATTACATTATTCTAAGAAAGTTCTTGACGCCCTTGATGATAATTACCACCATCCACGGATATTGAAGGATTCGAACCTGAGCTGCTTCGTTTTATGTATCTGCAAAGTTACAAATAAAATCCATTCTTTTATACCAGATGTTTTTATTGTGCAATTGTTCATTGTATCAAGATATGTTAAAGTGTCAAGTTTTATGGATAGTTTAGTAGAAATTAAGTTTTCGACAAAATTAGAATTATCTTATTTATAGTAGTAATAAGTAAAAGTTTTTAGTTAGTAAGATTAAACTAAATTATATATTTTCATTCTGATATAATAAATCCTATAATAATCAATGAATTTGTTAAGTTTCTCAAACTTTATTTTGTTTTTAATTTGTAATAACGATAAGAGTACAGGTATCCCCCGACTTACGAACTCCCGGACTTACGAACGAAATTCTAAAAGCTCTAACTTGTTACAAGGAGATATATAGTAATAAAAAATTTAACTGTCTAAACAAAAGTTGATAATTTCTTTAATAAAATGTTTGTTTTGTCATTTTTTTTTATTAAATAATCGTAATTTGTAAGTAAGTATTTTGTTTATTTTAATCTATTTTTTTTTTCAAATTTAGATAAGCATATTTTGAAATTGTTAAAATCCTTTGGAACGGAAATAGTTCGTAAGTTGGGGGATACCTGTATTTATTTTACCAGCAAAATCACAGCTGTCACAAATGACGTAAGGTGACAGCTGTCATTCAATATTTAACGAGATTCAATTTTGGGCCTCTTGATTGTGTAACGCTGATCTAGTCAATAATTTGACAGTTCACTTTTTTATTAATTGATTTTGTCTATTGTTTTAGTTATGAATTTATTTATATGAAGATTATTATTGATAATTTATCTTAATGCAATAACTAATATATATACAGTTTCTAGTTTATGTAACAATCATATTGTTTAAATCTACAAATAAATAAATTAATTAAATAATAGCATAACCTAAATCAATTAATAAATTAATTTGTAATACTAGCACAAATGTACACATCTCTAAACATTTTTGCCGCGCGACCCAACGTAT